ACTTTATGTCACTAAAAGATGCTCCTGTATAACCTTATGTATTTCCCACTTCATTCCAAGAATCAATAATTTCTACCTTATCCTTAATGAAAGAGACTTTAATTTCTACTTTATCCTTAAGAAAGGAGCCTTTGTTTCTAATGGCATTAGTCAGGGTTCTCCAGAGAAACATAACCAATAGAAGATATATATAGTAAATCTATATAGAGAGAGATACATGTATTATTTTAAGGAATTGGCCCATACGATTTTTGGAGGTTAGCAAGTCTCACATCTGTAGAACTGATGTCCTAGTTCAAGTTCTAAGGCTGCAAGGTTGTTTAATAACTAGGAAGTGCCAGTGTTCTGGCAGAAGAAGAATTTGACAAGAAAATTCTCTCTTATTTAGTGGAGGGTCAGGCTTTTCTTCCAATTAGACCTTCAACTGATTGGGTGAGGCCCACCTATATTATAGCGGGCAATCTACTTTACTTAGTCTATTAATTTAGATGTTAATTTCATCTCAATACAGGGTTTGGCAGAAGTAAGGCATGCTTGAGTGTGGTTGGTAGGGTATGTGCATGTCTTGCACGAGACGGACAGCAGTTGGAACATTTCACCTAAAATGTCATATGGTGTGCTTGAGTGCGATATTGTTATACTCCAGAATTACATGCTTATGATTTTGTAATTTAAAAAAGGGTATTATTTGTGTCAGACCCTGTACATCCTCACAGAAACACCCAGGATGATTTTTCACCAAATATCTGGGCACCTTGTAACCTAGTCAAGATGACACATAAAATTAATTATCACACTAATTTTTTTAGAAGCCCAGATCTGGGTGCTAGATGTGCTCATTGCTATTGAGTGCCATTGTTTCTAGGCACCATTAGGTGACAGAGAAAAAAATATGTGTGTGTTCTAGCACCTGTATATGCACATACCTATAAATATTACTGAATGTAACCATCTCTGTCTGTATTAAACTAAACATAAATTCTGCTTCTAATTCATTACCATAAGAATCATTTTAGCCTTCTCCTTTGCTTATCTGTAACCTCAGACATCAAGAGTGATAAACCTTGCTCCAACCATCAGCTATTCATTTACTTAATTTTTCAGAATTATTAAGCCATATCTTCGATGGAAACAACCCTATCAACTAGAGTGCAGTGTTAATGTATAGTTCCTTTGTGCCTTTAGTCTGCAGATTTCACTCATTTCCAAAATTTCTTAGGTCAGCCTTTTTTCTCCATGCTCCTTTCAGTGAGGTTTTTCCATACTTTTTTTTTAAAGAGAGATTCTTTTTTTAACATTCTGCATTCCATCTTGGGATTTCTTAACCTCGTAATTCATTATTTTAAGCAATTTCCAACATTGAGGTTCACCATGTGCTGCACAATTCTAAGTTTTTACAAATGCATAGTGTTGTGAATTCACCGTTGTAGTATCATACAGAAGAGAACCATCACCCTAAAAAAAATCCCCCTGTGCTTCACCTATTTGACCTTGCAAAGGTCTTTTACCTTTCCAAATACACTTTAGAATCAACTTGAATCTCTAAAACCAACAAAAGAGATTGCTGGAATTTCAAATGATATTGTGTTGAATCCTTATACTAGGTTGGGAAAAATCAAATTTTAATGACATTGAGCCTTCCAATCCATGAATAGGGAATATCTCTTCATATATTTATACCTTTGATTTCCTTTGTCAGTGTTTTATAATTTTTCACATATTTTGTTATATTTATGCTTTAGTATTTAATATTTTGGTGTTGTTATAAATGGCATCTTTTTTAGTTTTAACTTTCAATTCTTTGCAGATATATAAGAAATGCATTTTTTATAATAATCTTTGTCCTGCTACTTTGCTATATAGTAGTCCCCACTTACCCACAGTTTTGCTTCCCATGGATTCAGTTACCCAAGGTCAACTATGGTCCTAAAATATTAAATGAAAAAATCCCAGAAATAATTCATAAGTTATAAATTGTACTCTTCTGAGTAGGCTGATGAGATATCATGCTGTTCCACTCTGTCCCACTCTGGCACATGAATCATCCTTTTGTTCAGTGTAGCTACACTATATACTACTGGCCCATTAGTCACTTAGTAGCTGTCTCAATTATTAGATCAACTGTCACAGTATCACAGTGCTTGTCCTCAAGTAACGCTTTTTTAACTTAATAATGGCCTCAAAACCCAAGAGTAGTGATGCTGGCAATTCAGATATGCCAAAGAGAAGCCATAAAGTGTTCTTTAAGTGAAGAGGCATATATCCATAGGAATAAAACAGTATTCATATAGGGTTTGGTATTGTTCATGGTTTCGGGCATCCTCTGAAGGTCTTACAATGTATCCCCATGGATAAGGGAGGAGCTGCTCTATTGGCTTGTTAGTTCTACTTGTTTTTGAAAAAGTCTCAGATTTTCTACATACTCTATCATGTCATCTGAGAATAAAGACAGTTTTATTTCTCCATTTATAATCTGTATAGCATTTATTTATTTCCTCATATTATTGGACTAGTTAGAATATCCAGTACAATGCTGAATAAAAGTGGAGAGAGAACACATATTTTTCTTGTTCTTGACCTCAGAAGGAAAGGGTTCAGCCTCTTACCAGGAAGTTTGATATTAGCAATAGGGTTTTATTTTTTGGTATGTTTTTCATTAAGAAGAGGAAGTTACCCTTTATTCCTTGTTTGCAGAGATTTAAAAAAAACATTAATGATGTTGGATTTTGTCATATACCTTTCTTGCATTGATTAATACAATCAGATGATTTATCTTCTTCAGCCTTTTGCTATGGTGGATTGCACTGACTGATTTTGAATGCTGAACCAGCCTGCATATGTGGAGTATATCTCACTTGGTTATGGTGTATACTTCTTTTTATACACTGTAGTATTCAATTGGTAATACATATTTTATTGTGCATTTTCATGTCTATGTTTGTAAGAGGTATTGGACTGCAGTTTTCCTTTCTTGAAATATCTTTTTCTAGTTTTGGTATTAAAGTAATGTTGGCCTCATAAAATGAGTTAGAAAGAATTCTTTCTGCTTCTATTTCCTAGAAGAGACTGTCAAGAATTGATACCATTTTTTTTAAGTGTTTGGTAGAATTAGCCAATGAAGATATGTGGGCTTGGTGCATTAGTTTTTGGAAGGTTATATATTATTTATTCAATTCCTTTAATAGATATAGGACTATTCCAATTATCTATTTCCCCTTGTGCTAGTTTTGGTAGTTTTGTATCTTTCAAAGATTTGACCTATTTTATATGTTATCAAATTTGTCTCATAGAGTTCTTTGTAATTTTCCTTTATTATAGTTTTAATGGCCATACACCATAAGATTTTAATTTAAGTTTATATATACATATGCTGTTTTTAAGCCTCTTTCTTGTGTATTTTTATAAGCTAGATAATTTTCCCTGTCAGTTGTTTTTACTGTCCATTATTCCTCCTGGGTACATAATAAAAAGTGTGGTGAGTAGGCTCAGACTTGGGAGGTCAGTCATCACACATCTGCTGCTGGGGAGCTTCTGGGCAGAAAGTGACGAGGTACTAAAGTCAGAGGCTTTGATGTTGCTCCCATGTTGCTGGACCAATGGTTAGAGGTGAATATAGTGAGATTCTGATACAGCAGTAACCAGAAACGCCCTCCACAAATTAGCTAATCCAAGAAAATTTCTCTTGTGGTATGAGAACCTGGGGATTGGGGACATGAAAAAAATGGATTAGAAACAGTGACTGGCCCTCAGGAAGCAAAAGCTGACAGACCACTGTTGCACTGTATCTGAGTTTTCCCTACCCATTCATAGAAGACAAAGCAGGCCAGGGCATGCCTGAGAGGAGGTGGCCCATCTCTTTGGAGCAACAAGGGCTTGACTTCTTTGAGTCTCTGTAACAGGTTATTAGGTTAAGCAGGTGGAAATTTTCATTCTTGTTTTTGCTTTCATACTTCAAGAAATCAACACCTGCATTGCATGCCTGAGTCACTGGATCCTTAATCTGACCAGCTCTAGTGTTTATAAATTTTTCTGATGTGGAGATTATTGAGATTCACGTCTATGATAAACAACATTCACATTTGAACTCTTTACTCAGGATCCATCTCTAGAAGAATAAAACCAGATCAGGAGTGTGCACATTTTAATTGCTCTTGATATATATGTTATCAGGCAAATTTATTGCTCATGAAGGCAATTGTAAGTATAAATTAAATATCTCATTCTCTTTTGATGTTCTTTTACTCTAATTGGACAATAATATGTTTCTCTGTGCATATGGGTGACTATTGAGGCAGGAGGAGGTGAAGTTTTAGACACCAACTGTAGAGCTGCCAGTAACTGCTATGGGCAGTAAAAGCAACCTTAACAATGACAATGGACCAGATCCCTAATACTCCACATGCCAAACTTTTAGATGGAATCTGATCTGGGAGGAATTCTGAACTCAAGGGTGCATAACTGTTTACTGATGTTCTCCAAAGAAGAAGAATAAAGCACATGGGGATTGGGAGTCTCCTCATTTGTAAAAAGGAATTTGCCAGATAAAAAAGATCAAAAACCATTGGTGAAAAATCAAGGCAATATGAAACATGCATTATATTATAAATTTGCTTTATTTAGCAATACAAGTGAGCAAAGACGAGAGGAAACAAAGTGGGGATACAGACTGTACATTATAGAAATAGTCACTAGTGCTTTTAAGACCACTACAAGGGTGGAACCCACACTTGGAGGATGGGAAATTCCTGGGCCAGAGGAAAGCAAGGAGAAGTTGCCTTGTTCCACAGTCATATCCAAGCAGTGTCCTCCTGATGGTGAGCAATGAAAGCTCAGATGGAGCAAGTATGGGCAGAGTAGAGATATAAGGGCACTCAACTTGAGTTCTAACTCAAGAGCGAAGAGAAGTAGGTAGCAGGATAGAAGAAGCAACCAGAGGAGAGGGCCCTGCAGCTGGACAGGGGCCTTGAGACAATGTGGGACGGCCGGCCGATGGGAGGACTTCAGTGCTTGTAGCTCCTCTTGCTGGAGGATGAGGTGCTGGTGTATCTGATCGTGGAACTGCTGCCCCCAACAGAGCTGAGGCCACCGCCCAAGCCTCTGCCACTGCCGGAACTGAAGCCACCCGCAAGGCCGCCGCCATAGGAGTAGCCGCTGCCTCCGCCCAGGCCGAAGCCACTGCCCACACCGTTGGCGCTGCCATAACCACTGGAGACTGTGGACTGCACCACGGCTGTGGAAGGGAGGGGACAAAGACACACAGACATGGTGAGCTCACTCTGCCAGCCTGAGCGCAGTTAGGAGACTCAAGGGCCAGGGAAGTCGGCAAGCAAAGATACTTACAGATGTTGACTGGTCCAACGCCTTCCCCGCTCAGCCTAGGAGGGAGACAAACACAGGAACCGTGAGACCTCAGAGAGCCACTGCTGGACCAGCGTGGGAAGCCTCCAGGTGAGGACAATCCATGGGGAGACTGCCCTTTACAAGGTCCCCAGACAGTAGCAATTATGGCCATCACCGCGGTGCTCGACACTTGTGCTCACCGGCTGGGCATCGTGGAGAAGCAGCCAGATGACTGAGGAGGGAGGTCCTGAATTACCCACCTGCACTCCTCGCCCTCCAGCAGCTTCCTGTAGGTGGCGATCTCCACGTCCAGGGCCAGCTTGACATTCATGAGCTCCTGGTACTCCTTCAGGAGCCGGGCCATGTCCTGCTTGGCCTTCTGCAGGGCGTCCTCCAGCTCCATCAGCTTACTCTTGGCGTCCTTGAGGGCCAGCTCCCCACGCTGCTCAGCATCAGCGATGGCGGCCTGCAGGCTGGCGCACTGGAGGCGGGAAGGGCAGGGTGAGCTTGTAATCCAGTGCTCCACAGGGGACTAACCGTGGTTCCTCTCTCTCAGTGAGGCAGAGATCCGGGGCCCAGATCTCAAGGAAAGGGAGCTCGGACCATTTTCCTCCAGATTTTGTCCATTCTGCAGACCTTCTCTAGTTGATGGGTCACTTGAGAAACCTTGTGTCCCTTTGTGTTGGCCACCCTGCATGAGCAGGTGGGGGCTGGCTGGTGGACGGCGCTACGGCAGGCACAGACCAGGGACAATGGAAGAAATGGGCCCACCGGTTTGTTTTGAATCTCGACAGCTTTTGATAATCTCACCTGGTAGCTACACTAACTTGTACAAAATTACAAGCATTGTCCTTGAGGTGATGGGTTTCTTTCATCTCACACTTTTAGGTGACACAGGTCTCTGTCCTGTGTCTTTGCCTGACTGGGTTATTTTTTCCACCTTGACTATTGAGCAGATTTGCACCAATCTTCCTCTCTTGCTGGCTTGCCTTTTCTTTCTCAGTTTTCTGTGTTACCGGATCTACTGTCCTTCCTATGTAATCTCTCCTCAGTGCCTCTGACGATATGTTTACATCTTTGACAGGGGAAACTGGTTTTGTTCACCCGTTTGTCTCATGCCCTTGGGTTGGGATCCATCTCTCTCGTACCTGCGGGAACTCTCCAAGGGTAGAAGCCGCATGGCCTCCTCTCCCTGCCCTGCCCCCAGTTCCCAGGTATTTCACAAATGATGGCTGATGACCATGTGACGGTCTAGCAAGGAAGCGGTGCTCTTATTTCCCTTCGTGCCCACCCTACCTGTTTCTTGACGTGGTCGATCTCAGATCGCAGCCTCTGGATCATGCGGTTGATCTCAGCGATCTCCTGCTTGGTGTTGCGCAGGTCGTCCCCGTGCCTGCCAGCCGTGACCTGCAGCTCCTCATACTGCAGTCCACAGAGAGACAGGTGATGTGTAGGGCTTTCACATGTTAACAATGAAATCGGGTTTTCATAAATTAAGCCTCGCGGCCCCTCCCAAAGAGATTGTAGGAAGTGCTGATGTTACCAGGTCACTGGGTACTGTACACCAATCTTATTACGAGACCACTGACTCTCTAGTTCTCTCCAGAACCAGCAACGTTCTGCACTAGGTGTCTGAGACCAGCGTCAGGGTGAAGCTAAGGCGAAGCTCAGTAGGTCCTTGTCTACGTTAGCTTTGCTCCTGCTCGGGTTCTTTGTCCTACTAGAATTGCACATAAATTCTGTAAATATCTACTCTCTTGGTGTGAGAGGCTGGCGGCTTCCTAGAAGTGCCGTTTCCCAGTGTAGTCTGGAAGCCTCGCTGGTATTTAGGGAGCAAGCACGGGGGTTCCTCAGCAGCTGCCCGCTGGCTGCTCACCTTGGTCTGGTACCAGGACTCAGCCTCAGCCCGGCTCCTCTGAGCGATCTCCTCATACTGGGCTTTCACCTCAGCGATGATGCTGTTCAGGTCCAGGTCACGGTTGTTGTCCATGGACAAGACCACGGAAGTGTCTGAGATGTGGGTTTGCATCTGAGCCAGTTCCTGCAGAGCACAAGATGGTCAGGTCATTTTCTCCAGTGGCGTTCACAGAGCCGCCAGCGCTGAGACCCTCCACCCTCCAGCAGAGCCCCATTAGAGGGAAGAAAAGGAGGGTGGAGATGCTTACTGCCTCGTAGAAGGCCCTTGTGAAGTTGATCTCATCCATGAGAGCATCGACCCTGGCTTGCAGTTCAACCTTATTCATGTAGGCAGCATCCACATCCTGGGGAAGAAGCCCACAACGCCGAGTCAGCTGAGCCCTCCTTCCCCCCTCTGCCCATCTCTTAGCCTCCCGCCTCTTCTCCTCCCCGATGCCGAGTCCTCTCCTCCTGCAGATAAGCCTGGGCCCCTGGTTTTAATCAGCTCACCTTCTTCAGAGTCACGAATTCGTTCTCCGCTGCCGTGCGCTTGTTGATCTCATCTTCATATCTAGAGTGAGAAAGGGATAACGGGTGACCGAGTCAGTGGTGGAGATGATGCAGAAAAGGCAGCCTGGGGGCAGAGCTCTCTATAGTTGATGCATCCAAATTGAGGCTCCCTGCCCGTTGCCCAAGAGATGACTCTGGTTTATCAGTTGTTCCTCCTTTACTCTCCCTGTCCACCACCTCTACGGCCTCTTTGTTTTGGGGGGTTTGTTCTAGGCAACTTTTGTGAACTTTATGTTCGCGGACGTGTTTCACCTCGTAGTCACGCTCACGTCTGGACCTGGACACTCCGTGGTGTTCGAGTGTGTGCTTCAGAAAACTGGGCCCATTTCTCTCCTTAACTCACTTGCTCTTGAAGTCCTCCACCAGGTCCTGCATGTTCCGCAGCTCCGAGTCCAGGCGGCCTCTCTCCCCGACGATGCTGTCCAGCTGTCTCCTCAGGTTGTTGATGTACTGCTCGAACAGAGGCTCCAGGTTCTGCTTCACGGTCTTGGTGCCCTGCTCCTGGAGTAGGGTCCACTTGGTGTCCAGGACCTTGTTCTGCTGTTCCAGGAAGCGCACCTGGAGAAACACACGTGGTCATTTGCCAGCAAAGGAAGGAAGAAAGGCATGTGAGTCGTCAGGTTCCCAAGCAGGCCACGATGCTGGGCTGCTACGGAGCAGGTACAAAAGTTTACGCTGAGAGTCCTACTGCCTTAAACTCCCCACAGATGTCCCTGGCAAAATTTTCCTGCAGTCCTTGAGGTGTTCTCACCTTCTAAGTTCTAGAGGTTTTCTGTGACTTTCAGCATTTCTTCTCTTTCTCTTGACTAGTCACAAATCTACACATTAAATAGTATTTCTCTGATACATTGCACAAAGCTTATTTTTAGGATAATACCTCTGTTAAAGTAATATTAAATCTTTGGAATCTGATTAAATTTCAATCTCATTATGATTGGATTCTAATATAATTTTCCATTTAGTGCGCAAGTCTTTTCTAAAACAAACTTCCTCAATGGTCATTACCTGGTTTTACAAATTTATTATTTTAATGGATATGTGTTTCTGAGGTTTTTTTCCTAATTCACGCAGAAATCTCCCCCCCCCCCCGCTTTTTCTGTCATTTCCCTCTTGATAATTGCCCTAGAAAAGTTTTCCACTGGAATTTTATTTTTAATATTTTGGATTCCTCAGAAGGTAAAGCTAACCCATTTAATTTTTCTCCTTGCTTTTTTTTGTTGTTGTTGTTCCATTCCCAAGGTGGGAATTTTTCCTAGACAGGAACGAGAGATATTTAAGAGACTCAGTGGTCCTAAATAACATCCATCTTATTCTGTCTGTGGTTAATATGGAGCTAATCTGGCATGCCAGAGGGAAGCCAGCCTGAGTTCCCTTCCCCCTCGCCCTGTCCTCCTCCTGCTGGGACGTGTGTTGGTCCTCTGGTCTGGGGACTCTGAGCCCCCACTGGAGGGCAGGTCTTCTTGGCTCACCTTGTCGATGAAGGAGGCGAACTTGTTGTTGAGGGTCTTGATCTGCTCCCGCTCCTCAGTCCTCACCCGCTGGATGGTGGGGTCGATTTGCAGGTTCAGAGGAGTGAGGAGACTCTGGTTGATGGTGACCTCTTGGATGCCTCCAGGGGGGCACACAGGGAAGCCAGCGCCGCCGTAGCCACCAGCCAAGCCAGCTCCACCACCGAACCCAAAGCCGCTACCAGCTGCACCGCCAAAACCAAATCCACTCCCGGCGCCACCTCCAAAGCCAAAGCCACCGCCAACTCGGCCGCCATATCCGCCACCGATGGCACAGCTGCCCCCTCCGATGGAGATCCTCTTGGAGCCCCCCAGGCTGTAGAGGCTCCTGCTGCCAAAGCCAGCTCCTCCACATGCTCCACCGAGGCCCCCGCTGCCCCTGGAGCGGGACACAGAGACACTGCTGAAGCCAGAGCGGCTGACCCCAGGGACTCTGGCTGAGCTGGCGCTGAAGCCACGCTGGCTGCTGCTTTGGATCCTCACGGTGGATTTGCTAGACATGGTTCCTGATGATGAGAAGGCTGAAGAAGTTGAGAGAGGCTGGAGGGTGGCACTGAGAGGAGCAGATGTGTGTGATGAGTTTCCTAGCAGTTTATATACGGTGAAAATGGGCTGGGCTCAATCCTGGAAGGTGAGCTTGCAGATTGGGAAGGGTTGGGCTTTACAAATAGTGAGGTCACCCCCAGCACCTAGAAAAGTATGAAATATGGAGATTGCATTTTTGGCTCCCTTCATTCATGGAGAAATTCTCTTGCCTTCCAGCCTTGACTTGATCCTCACACAATAAGTCTGAATGCGATTTCACTGAAGTCATAAGTTAGTCATGTTCTCAAACAAAGGAGACAAGGTACTGATCTGTGTAAATTGTCTTTTCCTCCTGCTTACTCAGACGTTCCTCTGTGTGTCCCCTTCCCACACAGGTTTTCTCCTCCACCAGCACCACCCTTCCCATCAGGGTGGGACTGTCTCTGAGGCTTACAGGCATTTGCTCAATGCCCTGAGCAAGAAGTGGCCTGCAGTGTTTTTTTCTACCACGTTTAAACTTGCCCTTCGGGGGATCCTGGATGTTGTTTCTGTTGGCCTGGCCATGGGTATGGGGGTTAATTTAAGGTTACTTTGGGGTTAAAATATTCCTTCAAAAGGCAAGAAGGACAAAAGAGTTGTGTTTTTAAGAGTACAAGAGCAACAACTATTTTCTATCCTGTCTGATAAGGTGCCTAATTGGTAGTTTTCTGAGAGGACAGGAGACATCAGCCAAGGACACTCTGCCCAGAGATCTGACTTGTGCACAGAGTTTTTCTCCATACCTGTACCTCTCTCCCCAAGGTGTTTTTTCCACTGAGCTGATGATCACATTAACTTTTCTTTACAACTGGAATTCGTAGTCACTGTTTCTTTGCTGTTTTGGAATGTTCACTTAGAGCTTAACTTAAAGAATCTAAAATGAGTATGACAAAAATCATTAAGAAATTGAATGAATTTTGATTCCCACAGATTTTGATATTTCTTAGGACTTAAGAATCACACATCTTAATGTGTGCATACCAAAAGTTCAGGGACATATAGAAGCAGTGAACATAAAAATGCGCCCTTACAAGCCTGATGATGTCACAAGTAAATTTCGAGTGTATATTTTCAATCTCAGAGCTTGACATCTAAAATCCCTACATATCTTTTCAGAAGACAGAAGGCTGTCAAATGCATGTGGTGTAGGTTTAGAGGGGAATGAGGTTTATTTTTTTCACTCCAGACACTAATTACTGAGTGCAAGAAGCATTGAATATAGGCATGTTGTTCTACGAGAACATCTGGTTAAATGAGCAACCAGGAGAGAGAAGACAAAGTCCCACATTGGGATCACCCCAGGAACGCTCCTGGTACTATTTCATAAACAGTTCCATCTCTCCAATGTTTTGGGGGATACGGCACCCAGTAGAGCAGGGTATTCCCTGCCAAAAAAAGGTGCTAACTCAGCGTCTGGCTGGAAAGAGATACCTTCTTAAGACAACGGAAGCAGCTCCCCTCCCTCCACCCAAGTTGCACAATGATTGACCAAGAAATAAGCTGTCACCTTGTTCTGGGAAACTAGTGTTCCTTCTCATGGCACTGTATTCTGATCCCCACTACTGTCTTTGGGCTAGAGGCTTTAAGCTTAGCACAGATGGTGTCAGGAGGGGCAGGAAGGGTTGGCAAGTCTGGTGGGAACAGCATGCATTCGCCCAATGTCTTATGTCCACATCAGTGTCCATGGCTGCTGTCATGGTGGAGTTGGGTAGTTGTAACACAGAGTGTAATATTTACTATTTGACCCTTTCAAGGGAGAAAGTTTGCCAACTCCTGCATAAAAGCATGGGCTCTGGAGACAGTTTTCAGGCTCTCACTTGTCTCTGTGCAAATTACTCATTATTACAGGTGTCAGCTTGGGGTGAAAATAGTATCTACCTCTCAGTGTTATGAGGATTACAGGACATGATTAATGTAAAGGCCTTAACAGTGTCTGCACATAAGTTCTCAATGAAGATGAGCTAATATCATTATTATAATATGAAAATAAGTCTGGTGTATTTAGGCATCCACTAGAAGCTTCAAGAACTGGAACACAGGTGCAGCTTGTGTGTGTGTGTGTGTGTGTGTGTGTGTGTGTGTGTTGAGGGGGTGGGGTGAAAGAAAATGAAAGCAACATTAGTAAGCTCCTAAGAGCCACACTTAGGCAGATGCCTACGCATAGCCTTGCCCAAGTTGCTGGAAGGTAACAGTGGTCAGCAGAGGGAGGACCAGAGTCCTTGCAGGCTGCTCCTCTGGAGTCAGGCTCCCCTGCACCATCTTCTGCTGAGTTCCCATCTGTTCTCCGGACTGTGCACACAAGGACAGGCTGTCATCAACCAGCATAGATGACCAGATCAGTTCCTTCTTCAGTATTGATTTTATCTGTTTCCAGGTTGGGGATGGGCTCATCTCTGAATGAAGTACATAATTTAATTGCAACAGGAACCTCACATTCAACCTTTGAGTCTATTGAAGGATGGTCTAACTTTAACACATTATCTAATCCCAAGTTTGGTGTGCATACCAGACAGCGCCAGCAATATAAAGTATCATGTTCAATTTCCCGACACAAGTATTTCTCCTACTGGTAGATTTATAAGATATTCTGTAACATACATATGATATATAACACATTATACATAAAGATATGCCTTTTCTTTTTGAGATTTCCATCACCATCTGCCAGGGAATGATGCCCTGGGAACCAGTTACAGCGGCCCTGACCACGAGTGAGGTCGGTTGAGAGGGCTTATGTGAGAGGGTGAGGGCTCCTAAGAGAGTGAAGGAGGAATTGGAGAGAAGAGACTTTGTGCCTGACCCATTTCTGATTCCACTCCTTCCTAGTCCCATCACCCTTGAAAGGCTGACTTTGTACTTGATTCATTTGCCCTTAATTTTCTATCTCTCTCTTTGGGTGTAGGAGGTGCTTCGTGTTTCCTAATTCACTTTTAGGCTGTCCCCTGAGCTAAACTCTACTCCTTTCCTCCTCTGGAGTCCAGCCCTCTGCTCTGGCACCCAGGAATGGGTTGTGTTCATAGGTGGTGGGGCCACACTGGATGGTTAGAAAATTGACCTCTCAGATGAAATCTCCCCAGTGGCCCTGAATTATGTTCCTTGGTGGACGCCAGGGGAGTTCTATTTTCCCAGAGGAACAGGGTGGGGAAGGCTGGACCTTCATAATAAGATTAGAGCAAAGAGGGATAATTCAGGCAACTATGTGAGAGAAACCAAAGCAAGGAGTGTGAGTAACTCTAATGACAGCTGGCCTCCTCCTCAGCAGGTTGCCGAGCCTGGCTTCTACTCTTCTGCGAGAGCCTCCTTGCAGCCCAGTGCTGTCTCTGACCTCCAGGGAATGAGGAAGGCATTTGCTCTAGCATGGCAGAAAGCAGGAAGGAACGCTGATACCTGAGCCCATGGAAAATCTGCCTCAAGAAGATTTGCCTTGTCTTTCTGCCTCCCTGGGTGGAGCTGGCTGATGAGAAAGAGAGATGTAGGCTTTTGTCATCACCTGTCAAAAGCTTAAGACTAAATGCCTAATCCTGCAAGCCCCAGCACAGGATGATACTGTTCAGAGGGAATCCCATAGATCTAGTCCTGTCCCTTTGGAACACCCATTAAAAGAGAAACACGCAGCCACATGTTTTTAAGAAACATAGACAGTAACACCAAAGTTGACGTGGTAAGGGCAGCCTTCTATGATATACAAAGTGGTGCAGAAAGTATTGAAGCTTTCAAAACTGCTTAGTAACTAAGCTGTTTATGACCATGTAGTATACACTAAACTGTAGCATTTTCTTCTATTTCTCACATGGTCTGCCCTTTTTTTTTTTCTTTTGCATAGAACACCATGATGGGGTTGCACCTCTGGACATGATTCCTGAGTTGCTTGGCCCACAGCTTCAGGAAGTTTCTGACAACTCCATTCTCAAGCAGAGTGGAGCTCTACTTTAGGCCAATTGTAGGGTCCAGAGGTCTTTGAAAGAACACCTTCCACAGTGCTCAGTGAATGATTAGCTCAGAGCATTGCCCTGCTTCTGGAACCGAGCTCTCAAATCCCCAGACATCATCCATGTGGCATCTAGTGTGGATGAGTCAGATCCTCATATTTGTCCCACCTCCTCCTCCTTGCCTGAGAGAGATGAGGGAAGTATTATAGTGGCCACCAACAACAATATGCAATGAAGGGCCTGGGATGAATTGAAGTGCAATTAATTATTAGCCTATAGGATTGAAGCATGCCATATGCATTGATAAATTGAATATTTATACAATTATAGAAAAAAACTCTGACTTTAATTGATTTTGATACATATTCCTCTAAAACCTAGTTCCTGAGTAATACATTTTTTAAAGTGTTTATTTCCCTTTGACTGACCCTGTACATGCTGATATTGGATAGGTAAGTACACTTGAATGTTTAAGTAAATGGTAAGTGCATAATTGGACTGGGGACTGAAGGATGTATTCAGACAAAGGGGATACCCTTGGCTTTTCTAACCAATGTGGGGAAACTATTTGGAGGTGGAGGGGCAACGTGTATATTGTGACAGAGATATTTAGATGCTCAGAGGCAAGTTCTGTTGGCTGTAGAAAGAAGTGCTTTAGAGGAGAAGTAAGGGTGGGAAGAGAATGGGCTGAACAGCAAGGCTAGCGCAGATCAAACCCAGGATGGGCAGGGCAAAAGGGCATGGATGAGGGCACGGGGGGCCAGGTTCTACTTATGTCTGTATCCAAGGTCCTCAATAAAAATGGGTTAAATATGAAAAAATGCTCAACACCACTAGCCATCAGAGAGATGAAAATTAAAACCACAGCGAGATACTACCTCACACCTATCAGACTGGCTATCATTAATAAATGAACAAACAACAGCCATCGGTGAGGATGTGGAGAAAAGGGAACCTTTTTGCACCGTTGGTAGGAATGCAGACTGGTGCAGTCACTATGGAAAACAG